CTTGAAGGGGGGGGTGTACATGATATATTATTTAGTGAAAAAACAGTGTGAGCTACAGGGTAATATTTCAATAAAAATATATATACTTGCATGTGCAGAGAGAAAATGTGGAAAAGAGCCCCATGTTGTTTGTATTGGAGTAGGCAGAAAGACTAGATTTGCTCTTTATCAGTGGATTATTTTGTTTGTTTTATAATAATGTATTATTTAGTAATTTGAAAAATAGCCACATACTTTTTTGCTCATTCGATTATGTATGTGCTTGAGAAGAATGCTTTTTTTTGTTGTATATGTTTTGGTTTAGATATATAATTTTTTTATTCATTAAAAAAATTCAAGAATGAGATTACCAAACTTTGTGAATTAAGACATTTAGCTTTCTTTTGGAGTGACTATTTAATGAATGATGAAGTGTTTTTATCTTGCCCATTAAGACAATATTGAAAGATAGCTGTTACTTTGTTTCACTTATAAAATATAATGATAATAATCTTCCTAGATAGGTGATACTATACATAGAATCATATTAGACTTGGGAAAAGTAGGTGGTGAACAAAATATTTATAATATACAAATTTCTCTTAACAAAATAGGCAGCTGTCAAGCTGTGTAGCCTTGACTTAGGAGATTTGCCCCAGGTTCTGCAGTGAGGCAGCAGCAGGAGTGTGCTGTGGCTCTAGTTCCCATCCCACAGGTTTTGTTTATGTCCTCCATGAAAAAGACTCCCTCATACACACATACCTAAATATAATAATTATTTCAGTTCAGTACATATATATGTATATGTGTGTGTGTACATGTTTTATTTATGTGTGTGTGTGTGTGTGTGTGTAAGACGTTTATTTGGATAGATAGATTGATAGATGATAGATATCTACATACCCAAGGTCCAGAATAACTCATGGTGTACCTCATGAAAATTAGTGGGCAAACTTGAACAACAAGGCATATTTGGCACCCATTTTTAGCCCAAGCTTCATTTTGCTTGCCTTTGTTTCATCTACTGTTTTTCTAAGGCTCTCGGTGAGCAAGCAGTGTTGTGGGTACAACCTAGCAATCCATGGATCAGAAAGGCAGTAGGCCTGATGTACAGCAGGTGTAGTGGTCTAGTCTGTGCAGTTTTCATGAATGTGCAGAGCCTTTCCTATGGTTTCTGCCAAGTCTCCTTTAAAGACTTGGGGGAAGGGCTGTGTTCTCCTGACTGTGCCTAACTTTTTTTGTAATGAGGATTTGAGCCCCAGCATTCTTTAGTTACACTTCATAAATTCATTTGGTTTGATTTGGAGTCTGCCTACAGCAGTGGGTAGAAAGAAAATAATAGTGGGACATCAAATGGAGCCCTTTCCATCAAGTAAGAAAACAACTCCAAGGAGACTTTTCATTTAAAACCAGTTACTGTCTTGTTGTGTGGATAGTCATAATGTCATCTGTATAGTCCAAACTAGAACTAGGCATAGCACTGTCAGTCCCTGGTACAGGGTGCTTTCTCTCTGTGTGAAGGGAAAAAAAGGAAGCATAGAATGTAGGATAATGACCCTCAGATCAACTTCAGCGGGAGAGAATCACTAATCTGTGGGCTCAGCCTGAATGTTCTGATTGCTGCCTCTTCTGTGCTGACTTCTGCCTGAACTAAAACCACCCCCCAGTGTCACTGGGAACTTCTCTCCTTTTTCATTTCTTTTTTCTGGTGGAGGGAATGGAATTTTAAAATCTAGAAACATCCTTTTCAATGCCAATCACTTTTAAAAAATGTAATCTTCCTATTTTTTTTTAAGTTACTCTCTTCCCCCTGCTGCTTTAAAAAACACTGCAGAAGATGTTACATTTTGTTGATGCTCAAGCTGTAAACTGTTTCTATCTAACTTAGGCGCTCATGCTTGAAAAGTTTTTTTTTCTTCCCCCACAGTCTTCAAAGAGTACATTCCTTTTGTTTTCAGAAGTAATTAGAGAACCAGTTTGTCCAATAAAGTAGCCATTTGTGGCGTTTGAGCACTTGAAATGTGACTGTTATGAATGAGAAACTGAACCTTTGCCATATCACATTTTAATTGATATAAGTTCAATTGTATAATGAAGCAGTATATAATAGTCCATTAAATACAACTGTGTTCTGTTAAGAATAGATTTCTCTTTAAATGTTGAAAATACTAACTAAATTGAAGTACACTCCAAATGTAAAATATACAGTGAATTTGTAGACAGTATGGAAAAATAAAATATTTCACTAATACTTTTTATGTTGATTACATGTTGAAATGCTAATATTTATATTGGTATAAATAAAACATTAGTTTATTGTATTCCTTTTTACTTGGTTAATGTGGCTACCACCTTCGTGTGTCTCTGGCAGGCTTTTCAACTCTGGCACAGTTGATATTGGGCCTGGATGATCTTTGTTGTGCGGCTCTCTTGTTCGCTGTAAGAGGTCCAGCAGCACAGCCTCCCCCTGCAAAAGGGCCCTTTCAGCCTCCAGCCTCTGCCTGAAACTCTGCTAGAGGTGAAATCTCTGGGCTCCCATTGTTGGAGTTAATTGCAAGACAGGTCTTTACGTCAGCTATACTAACATGAACTTTCACCAGTAGTCCTAGATTGCTCGTAAACCAAATTCTTTTGAAAGAGGTAACATCTGCCAACTGGCTTCATAAAGTCCAAAGCTTATTCAACAAATACTTAAACTCCTATTCTGAGTTAGGTGTTGTCCACAGCAGGCTGGGCTGCACAAGGCTACATGATGTGTAAATGATGTTTGAGTTCTTGGGAGTTTACATACCTTTTAGGGCCACGGAGTCAACAGATAAGCAAAAAACCTATGTCACATGTTGATCGGTGCTGTGGAGGATGAAGCAGAGTTGCATAGTACTCTGGTGGAGGGTTTACAGAGATGGTACTGTTACTGCCATCCCAGGCCTGTCCTCTGATACCCCAGAATCTCTTTTGTGCCTAGTATTCCCCAGACCTCCAGTTTCTTTGGGTTCATTTGCCATTTCTTACAAGAGATGTTTTCTAGACACCTTTGCCTAGCCTCTGATAAGTTCTCCTGAGTGGAGGGAATTAAGATTCCTTTTAGATATGGCACCTGGATCTGGATTCCAGTTTGAATTGCCCTTGGAGATATGTTGGGTATTCTGTGTTTGATAGTCTGCCATTGTACCTGTCCTGGTAGCCGCATGAGGCTATTGACCTAGATTGTGGTAATACCAGGAAGTCTGAACCACAGCTTGTGTATGGTATGCCTGTCCCCAGGCCATTGTTTTCTTGCTGCATCTGATCTGTTTATTGCACACAGTGTGTGGATATGAGTGAGGGTTTGCACTTGGCTCTGCATGTACTACAGAGAAAATAACATGGATTTTATAATGACCACTTACCCTTTGAAATCCCTTTTCTTTACTCTTCGGTTTGTGCTAGAAGTATACAATGTTTCAGATTGTCTGACTTATAAATGAATAATTTTAATTTTTATAAAATACCACAAAAAGTTATGTGCATAAAAACGAGTATAGAGGATGTTTCCAGGTAGGTCTCTTGATGTGGTGATTTCTGAACTGAGAAATTGCATTTCTTGAAATGCCTCCAGAATATTGTTGTTTTTCTTGCTTTTCTGCTGTCCTTGTCTTTAATCAGAGCGGTAGGACACATTTAATGTAAACATTCATAGGGGGAATTATAGCCCTCATTCAGTCTTCACAATGCTTATTTTGGGTTCACAACTTCCTAGATATGATGTTTTTCATAGTCAGGAGATAGAAAATTTAGCTTACATATATCTTCAGAATAGTGTTTTACATGCACATGGTGGATAATGGCAGAGATCTGTGTCGCTGATAACCATTGTTCATGTCACAGAGATCAGTAGTCTTGGAAAATGGGGAATGTGATTTAAATACCATCTGTGGCCATTTATCCAGCAGATTGGTTAGATGACAGATCTGCCAAATGAGCAGCGTTTGTTCCTGACAAACCAAAAGAATTTTACAATAGAGAATTTTAAATAATATTGTTTATTTTAAAATTTAAAATTTTATTAAACTTTTATAGTCAAATTAATGTTTAATGTAGAGGTTCTTTTAGAAGGTACATATCTTTGTTTAATATTGTCTTTAATATTTCACATACATATTTTCAAGGCCATAGGAAAACTGCCATCCCTTGCCATAACTAGGAAAAGAATGAATTATTCAGTGTTTTAAAAAGTTGGTGTGAGCATCTCTTGCCCTCCTGACCTGTGATGCTGCTCTGCTTGTCTGTGGAAACGGACTCAGCACCCTGCCCACCACCAGGCCTGCCGTGCCTGGACTGTGATGTGCTGTTTAACCAAGCCACAGAACTTCTGCTGCTGATAGCCACCATCCCTCTGGCTACTTCCAAACCTCTGCAGCAGCTTCAAGGGTGCTCTTTCTGTCAAGGTTTATTTAGTAAAGGATTTTCCAATATGTCCAGAGTTGCTCAATTTTGTTCAGTGTCATTGTCCTGGAAGTGCTATATGTGATATGGGACCTAAATTTTACTTTAACATTTTATTTACATATTTTCGAAGGCATTTTCCCATTTAATTTCATAAAAATCTTTAGGTTTGGTGATGGTATTTTATTTACACTGTTTGGAAGCTAGAGTACAATTATTTGTTAAAAATCCGAGTATGGCAGGTGTGCTCTTGAATCATAACAACTGTGTTAGATGTGCCAATGCATAAAGGATAGTGTCCCTCTGAGATGATTCAGACTGCTGGATCCCAAGGATCGAGAAAGACTTAACAGAATCTGGGTCCATGCTACGATGAAGACAGAGGGCCTGCTGATTTGCTGTAGAACTTTTCAGGGGCCAGAATAGCAGTGAACAGGCAGAACCCTAGATTGACTGTTTTGCCCTGTGTGTGACAATGCACATTTTATAAGTGTCTTTACATATGTGCCTCCATCCCGTATTAATGATAACAGGTTTTCCTTTCCAACGTCAATGGCATTAAAATGAACTCTTTGTTTTTCTTTTCTTTTTTTCAGAACAAGTTTGCCCTCTCCCATGTTTTCCAGAAACGACTTCAGTATCTGGAGCATCCTCAGAAAATGTATTGGAATGGTAAATTAGCTGTCTGTTCCATCATATGGCATTAAGCAGATAGAGGTGTGATTGCATATCCTTTGGAAGGGACTCTTAAACAGCTTGCATGAAAATAATGCACAGCAATGTTTATAGAAACCTGTGAGAGTCAAAAATCTCAGAAGGTCTTAAGAGCAGTTTTCCTGACGGAATTTGAACTACTCTTTATGCCAGTTAATATGGCTTTAATGTGACATTTCTTTACAAGAAAATAAGAAAAAAGCTCTTTTTTTCCTGTCGTTACAGCACATTTTTATGTTCATATAAACTTATTCAGAAATTTGTTCAAAGAACAGATCTTCCACCACATTGTAGTGTATGATTTCATTTATACTTCTGTGCCCAAAGTAAGTTTTTGTAATTTGGATTTGTAAGTGTGGCATGTTAAACATTTGGAATATGTCTCTTGCTTCATTATCTGTGCAGGGGGTTTGATCTTGGGGGGAACATGGGGAAATGGCAACTTTTCCCTTTATATTACTCCCTGAATTCTCTTTAAGGTAGTGGTCAACACTTCTTAGGCTAGAATTCTGAGTAAATTCTTAGTGTAACTACCCAGAAAGATGAGAATTTTAAAATGTGGGTCCTGAGATGCCAGGGAATCTTCTATACATTACCTTGTTAAACATTGGTATTTACTCCCAGAACTTTCCCTGCACGGAGAAGTAGAGTCAACTTCTGAACATGTCCTTCTGATTCTTGAAATCTTTTAAGTGCTGATGTGCCACTTCAGCGTTTTTCAGTGGCCTCTGTTCTCTGAGTAGGGTGATGTCATCTGAGACTTCCAAAGGTTGTTTCCAAGGAGCTCTAATTCCAGATATATTCCTTTTAAACAAATGTTTTCCAACTCCTGAATGGAAAATAATTTAAACTTTGTACACCTATAATGAAGGCTTTGATCCCAGCTGAACTATTTCCTTGAGACGATGGGTCAGTTGGGTACCTTCCTGGGTGGTGCTGCCTCCTGTGTGAAACCAGAATATAATTTGTACTTAAAGGTGCATTGAGAAATGGATGATTTCTCAACTATTGGCACTTAACTACAGCTGAGAGAAGACTTGGGCTCTAAAAGTACTTTTTCAATAGGACAAAGCAAATGCACATAGATAAATACATAGGTAAATTATACATGTTAGTCACTTTGGGACTGAAAATTTCAAGACAAAAAAAATATATTGTTGTCAATATTTTTCAAACCCTTAATAAATGTATTTACTTTTACAAATCAGCATGTAATTATGTATATATGTATGTGCCTAAAATTAAAATCACTTTCACAAATGAATATTCATCCTTTCCTCAAATATTATTTTCTACTTGATTTAAATAGCATTAAATTGAGAAACAATTGTTCTTACTACCTACAGATTTGTGCCACATCTAAGGCCATTTGGTCAAAGGAGTGTATAGAAATGTCAAATGTGGCTTAGTCTTTTTGTCCATCATGGAAAATACAGTTTTCTGTGTTTCTCAATATGTCTAATATATGTCCTTTTCAAGCATTCTAAATTGGGACTAGCCATTTTTTAAAAACTTTCCAGTTATATTAGAACATACCTGTCATTCTTTGAAAGATGCTTTTTGTTTTTAGGTACAGAACTATTTGTGTGAGGAAGTGTTGGTGGCAGAGTGGTGAGCATAGCTGTCTTCAGAACTACCTGTGCAAATAAACACTTGTACTGAGTCATAAATAAAATAAAGCAAATAAAAACACAACAGTTTGAGTTGAAAGGTTTCACAGGATATTTTGAAACCTCTACCTATAGAGCTTACTAAAAGCATGGGGAGAAAGGTTCCGGGGAAATAGTATCTTTGGAAACAGCTCTCTGCTGAGGTTTATAAGAGACCAACATTCTAGAGGATTATTAATGTTGACTGAAAGGAAATACCCCAGCACTTGGAGGTGGTGTTCTTTGGGCATTGTCTTTCATAGGATCCTCTCTCCTAGGCAACAGAAAGAATCAGAAGGTCTAAGGGCTGGGCAGCAGTAGAGATTTTTTAAGAGATATCTTGAATAGAAATACAAATGTTATCACAACAGCAAAATTTTAAAAAGTTGACTTTTGGTATCAAATTCTTCTAATATCTGCCTGTTTCCACCTCCCAAAGAAAATAGGTCATAATTTCAAAAATAGTGGTATCCATAGGTTATAATACACCTAAATTGAAGACTTTTAAAAAAATCCTCTTTGAGTCACCCCCCTTAAATTGGAGAAAACATTCATACAAAAAATTGTGCTGTGAATGGATAATTATGAATGTAATGCACTCCACTGTTGTCATCTATGTAAGAAATAAATAAAAAAAGAAAGAAAAAAATCCTCGATTTCATATTCATGATTCCATTACAGTTAATAATCCAAATACTTCATTTCAGGTCGTTTTGTGGGGTCAGTCTCTGTTACAGAAGTCATACATACATACCCTTCAGCTGTAATCTCTATTTCCTTAGCTTATCGACACAGTTATTTAATTTAGCAAGAGATCAGGAAATGTTATTTTGAACCTTCTCTGCTTATGCCATCACTGTCAGCAGCACAGTCAGAGCATCCCTCACCAGCAGCCCCACTATGCAGCACTGAATTGGGGTTCCATCCCAGTTTCTAAAACAGTACCCTGTTTATGGTATGATGATATAGTTTGATGGTGTTGTGTCATTTAAAATATATGACTTTTAAAACTCACAATAGATGTTTCTCTGCCGGGTATGGTGTAGGTCTAATTTTGTCTCAGGAAGGGGAGGAGGTCATTGTTTCTTCTTCAGGCATTTGTCCACCAGAGCCTGTGGCATTCTCCAGCAGGGCTCACCATCTCTCCTTCCACTTCCACATACTTGCACATTTTGCTTTACTTGTTTCCAAAAAGCACTTAGAGACTCAGGTTTCCCAAACTGATGGCATACTTCTTTTCTTCTTCTAATATGTTTTGGACGGGATTATGTTACCAGCCTCTTGGATTATACTCCAGCAAATAAATACTTTACGTAACTGGAATTCAACCCTAAATCTCCTTGTGGTTAAAGCTTCTAAACAAATTCCCAACATCATACTAATACTGATGTTGGCTGATTGTTATAAGCCTTTGTTCTTTATTTTCTTACTTCCATTGTCCTTTTTCTGAAAGACTTCTTAATCCCAAAGCCCAGTTCTAGTGTTTCACTTATTTTCTTTCTTCTCTCCATCCTTTGCTCTAGTGCTTTCTCTCCAGGGTTGATCTAGAGATTAGATTATGTGGAAACCAGTACCAGAATCTAGGTGCAAAATTTGAGTAGGTGCTCACACCCAGGGATTCGCCAGTACCAACCTTTTGTTTGTTAATGGAAGCTTAGTGCGGAATTATTTTACAAGAAGAGAAGAGGTCAGCTATATACTGAATACTGACTTTTTACAATAAAAGTGTTATAACACTCTTTTGAGGTATCCAGTGGACTCCAGATAACAACATAGATTTGATTGCTACCATAGTTCTATTGAGGAAACACATGAGCAAGCTGTTTTTTAATAGGTGGAAAGTTATTGTTCTGTTTTCCCCTGTAACTCATATTTCCATTCCTTATTTCCCATAGAATATTATCCTAATTTCATTTTTATATTTCTGAAGGTTTTTTTATTGACTACTATCACAAAAATAAGTATAAAAGTTAAGATTCATAAATCTGTATCTTTGACCATAAGACTTTTTAGTACTAAAAGATTCTTTGCATCATTGCTCTTATAAATTTTATATTATGAGTGATCAAGACTTCAAACACAAATTCATGAAAATATTAACATAAAGGGTAAAATGCTGGGGCTGGGGTTTTAACTCAGTGGTAGAGCACTGGCCTTACATGTATGAGGCACTGGGTTTGTTCCTCAGCACCACATAAAAATAAATTATACATTGTGTTCATCTACAACTAAAAAATATTTTAAAAAAGGTAAAATGCTATTTATGTATTAGTAAAAAAAAGTTGGGTTTTTTTTCTGTTATGTTTAGATATGAGATGCCTGATACTTCCTGCTAGAATGAAACAGGGTTTTCAGTAATAATTATGTTCTTGCTTTCTTAATCGATGTAAGAATTGAAAAACCTTGCTCACATTAATAGACAGATGGGAGTAGGAGTTCTGTGGTTTTTTTTTTAAATATTTAGCAGTGTCACTCAGTTCTTAGACCCCTTCCCATCTGTATGCCAAAAATCAGATTGTTGTAAAAAATAATTTTTTATGATTCTTAAGCTAAACACTCAATTAGACTTCATTGTGTTAAGAAATTTTTGTGGAAAACCCTAACATGGAGAAGGTTTTGTTCCCTTCCATTACATTTGGGAACTTCATGGGACATGTACCAGAGAAGCTCTACCAGGATTCTCAGATCATGACTGTTGCTATTTCCTTTCAGTTATTCATACCTTGCAGTATTAAGAAGGGTTTGAGAAAATTGAAATATATATATTTTTTTGCTGAGTACACCTTTGCCAATATAATATTTTTTGATGAAATGCTTTTATCACACCATGAACTTTACAATATTCCCTTCAAAGCTGTGGATCTAGCGTATCCACTTGATGCAGAATGTCCGCCATATAACCACAGGCCCAGACTTCACACCCAGAAGTGCCATCCGCTCAGAGTGCCTATCAGACAGGTGTGATGCTATTTTTAGATTTAAATAAACATATTAGTGTATGTCACTATGACAACTGCCCCATTCTTGAATTCTGACTCTAGATAGATATAGCACAAGATAAGATTGAAGCTTAGGCCAAGTCTGGTGTGTTATAAATACTGACTTGAGAGACAGGATGGAAGAAGCAAGGTAGTTGAAATTTGGCATCATCACCACCCTACTCTATCGTCATCTAAAATTAGAATATCCTAAAGCAGGGCACACTGGCCATAAAAAACCTGTTTATAATATTCCTTCCCTTAATTGAAATGAGGAGACTGTGGCTCTCCAATGTAATCTAAGTGCCTTGTGTAAAAGATGCTCCACTCA